CGGACGGCGCGGAGGCGCCCCTGCGTGGAGACGCCCAGTCGCCGGGCGACCGCCCGCGCCGCATCCCAGCCTCCGCCGTCGAGGAACTGCGCCAGGCAGTCCCGCAGCTCCTGCGTGCCTGGAGGCGCCGCCTCGGCGCTGGCCTCCGCGCCCCGGGCCGCCTTCCTCCGTGTGGAAGCGCTCGCGGGCGGCGCGTCGGCGCCCTTCGGGGAAGGGCTCGCCGCGGCGTCGCCAGCGCCCGCTGCCGCCGCCGCGCGAGGGCGCCCGGCCCCGTGCCGCCGCCGTCGGCGCTGGCCGCCGCCGCCCAGCTGCCTCCCGGCCCAGGCGTTTGCGGCCGCGCCGCGAGGCCGCGGCCGCTGGAGCCCAGGCAGCGCCGTCCGCCCCTGGAGCCCAGCCAGCGCCGTCCACCGTCCGCCCTGGGGACTCGCACCCACATTTTAGTGGTGGGGGCGGGACAGGCGGCGGGGCTAGCACCTTTAGGGGACCAGGCATGCAGAAGTTGGATGAAGGACTTCGGAAATCCATGCTGGCTCAGACGGTCGATCAGCACTTCTCTGGCATCCAAGCTTAGCTGGAAAGTGGAATCATGACGGTGGAGACGCCCAAGCGTGGATGCCTCGGCGGTGCTCTTTCAAAACAAAGACAATGGAATGCCCAAGCTGGTCTTTTCCCATATTGGTTTGTATGCTAGTTTTCTGGTGGAGGCCATATCAGGACCATTGAAAGTGTGCATGTCTAACATGTCTGTTACATGCACGGCGTTTTTCTAATTTACGGTTGAAGTTGTTGCGACTGTTTGTCACAGGCCAATCATGCACATGCCAGAAAGGCGCGAGGCTCTTCCCAGTGATGATCAGGATGTCATCCCTGATCCTTACCTACACCAAAATCCCCCTGCTTGACATCCTGACCCAATCATTCATTCTAGAATGCTCCAAGTTGTGGTAGAGTCCCGCGTCAGACAAATCCCAAGAGAAGCTTATCCCCATTCCAGAACCAGCCTTAACCTGCCAAATTCTGTCATCGTAGAATCTGGACTGGACGCATTGGTTGCTCAAAAGGAACTCTGCCGCATCGCCCATGATCACCCCAAGAGCTTGGGGCGCAACAGCGACAGCACCTCGCACGAGTTCGTTGATACTTCCAGACATGGAGAAGTCTCGGACGTCGTATCGTATGAACAGTGACTGCATCACTGGGGACAGACATGTTTTATTCAATATCTAGATGAGTTCTTCTGTGCTTGAGAGAATGTGTGGTTTGAAAACAAGTGGTTCAAGAAGCCGGCGAGCCACCCAAGCTCCAAGACCCGTAAACGAATGTTTTTTTTTCCCTAGCGTGCAGATTACGGAAAGATACGTCACCTGGATCTTTGTGGGTTTTGATCGTGCCCCTACTGACGTCACAAATCTGGGGACTCCACCCGTCAGGCTCTGCAGCAGGGAGCGCGCGTCTGTGTCTAGCTCGAGCCTGTGAATTGCTTTGACCAAGCTCGGGCAATGATTACAACATTGCCACCATCGGATGTTGAAAGGAAGCGTCTGTTCGTACTGCGTGCCAGCCAGTGCCAAATAATGGATCTGCTCCAACACGCCTTTTTTGGACGAGCGCTGGACCCCCGTCCTTATAAGTAAACACATGGGCCCAATCTAATTCAACAAGTTGTTTGAAGGTCTGCGATATGAGACCATACACGTTTGTATTCTTTGTGCGACCGTATTGCTGGTGAAGCTTGTGTCTGCACTTTTGGAGAACATGGCAACACATAGCGCCAACCATATCGTCAAGCTCGAAAGGGGCAGACAATAAAAACGTCTTGGTGGCTCTGCATGCCGATGCAACGCGAAATTAGTAAACATTCGGCTCATTCCTGGAATGTCATTTCCACAATATGTTGTGTCGTACTTGCTGTATGACGTTGATGATCCCTGAACGGTTTGGCAGAAACTTCTGTGTGAACGATGTGTGCGATGAAAGCGAGCAGGCAAGACAACTACTGGCCATGTACATTCACATGGCTCTGGGTGGCGGCTACTACGGTCCTCACTCAGAAGCCACAGCACATCATCAGTAGGCATGCCGTCCACGAGTCTGTTGAACTCCAGCTTCATGTTCCGCTCCTCGCATTGCGTCCTCTGTCTTTGGGAGCGGCGTCACGCTGAGCGCCTCTCCCTCCTCGGTCCTGGATGGCCCGTCTCCTTGCCCTTTCCCTTGTCCTTTCCCTTTCCCTTTCCCTTGGACCCCTTGGTGTCTCCCTTTCGGCCCAAGGGATCTGTTACATACTGCTGCTGGTTGCCCCATCCCGTCCCTTGGGGCCTTGCCGTTTTTTGGTCTCGAAGCGGACGTCCGATCATTTTTTCGTTGGGCCTGCTTCTTGGTGAAAACGCGTTTAGATGTAGCAGCACTGTTGGAGGTCGGATGACAATCTGCCGCCGGGGTGCCGCTCGAGTACGCCGCCCAATCGAGACCGCCTTGCTTGGCTCCAACAACTTGCTTGACTGCTGCCGCAAACCTGACACCAGGGGTGCTTTCGTGAGGGCTGACACGCGCTCTTGCTTAATTGCTGCCTGCTTGTCCTCCTCGGCCTTCCGCTTCACATCATCGTCAGCGATTATTCGAAGCATGATTTTGTACATTTTGGCTGCCTCATCCTTCGTCATCCTCGCTTCCTCTGCAAAAGTTGCAGTATTTCAATATCCTGCTGTTGAATTTGTCATCGATGGCTTTGATGTGATGTACGATGTCCTGGGGAACTTTGACCGATGCCATGGCAGCATCGATGGCTTCCTGATGCCGCACTGTGCTGGGATCGTGGGAGTTCCGGGCTTTCTTCCTCGCTTTCTCCTCCACTTCCATCGCGGGACGTGCCACATGATGTTCCTTATCTAGTACTGCCGATTGCAATGCTTGCCCCATGGCTCCAGCTGGCACCGCATCAATCCCGGCAGGCGCCGCGTTGCCGGCTGCTGTAGAACCCTGATGTACCATGGTGCTGATCGTGCGTCGGTCGTTGCCAGTGTTGTAGCTTGTCCACCCCTGCGATGTGATGACATCGACGTCAAAACGCACGATTTGTTAACACGTTTTCTTGCCCGCCACCTGAGAACTACCCAAATTGGCTGCGCGCGGGCCTGGGGCGCGGTGAGGACCCCGAGCCAAATTATGCTACAGGCATGTCGTGAAATGAGCAAGTGAGCAAGCAAGCAAGCAATCGATTCTGTCCCTGTCCTGACTGGGCCTTACCGTGAGCGGCCAAGCGAGGGGTGATGGGGGATATCATGGCGAGGGCCATGGTATCTCCCGATAGTTCATGGCTCGCTCTTCTTCTTTCAGCACCTCGCTTTTCCCATCCTGACCCCCGCTCGTCCGCGCACGTGCGTCGGGCTCTGATTGCTATCCCCCAACTTGGACGCCCCCCACTTGGACGTCCTGTCCTGTCGGTGTGCCCTACCGCGGCTCCTCCGAGGACATCTCGTCGGATGGGCGCTCCCACCCCAATGACCTCCTTCCCTCTCGTACTCTGACCTGGACCCCCCCCCCTCCCCCCGTGGGTTGCCCCCTTCTTGGACGGGTCTGGTCTTGCCTTCCCTTGTCCGGTCGTCGATCTCGGCCTGGCCTCGCCGTTGGGCCCGCGCCCTGGGCGCCAGCCCTCCCTGTCCTCTGGGGTCTTGCTGCCAGGCCTCGGCCTTGCCGCCCGCCGCGTGCTCGCCGTGGGCCCCAGGCCTCGCACGGTCGTCTAGGGGGGGGGGGCTCAGAGTTCTCGGGCAGAGCTCATTTCGATTCGTCCGGCTCGATTCGATTCGGTGTCAGTCGATCCTGGTTCGATACGACATTGGATTTCGATTTGGATTCCGGTTTTTCAAAGAAGGCCTTACTAGCCTGCCGATTTCCGCCGATTCTACTTTTTTCAGACTTGGCTGCCGAATTCTGTCTGTCCGATTCATTTCGATCGCCGATCCGATTCATCGATTTGATTATGATCTCTCTTGCTTAGAGCTCTCGCTTGGGCTCCAAACGGTGTGGTGACCACACCACGTGGTGCGTGAGTGGGGATTCGGGGTCACCACGTGGTTTTGGAACTTGAGTCGTTCTCCGTCTGTCCCAGAGAGTCGCCATTAAGTTTCGGGGTTCGAGGTGTTCGGTCGTTTTCGTCGGTTCTCAACGGTTTTCCAGCCTCGGGATGCTCACCGACAGCTGCGCCTTGCCGGGAGCGTTCGAGGCATGCTCAGGTCGTCTCGAACGGCCGTCGGAGGCCTGAGTAATGGCACGAAAGCCATCGGTCAGACGCAGACGCCCACGGCGTCGCCCGACGGGTCTCGCCATCGTTGCCGTGGACCACTGCGCTGCCGAGGTGGAGGTTCGGCGTTCCTCCACTCGCCGTCAGGGCACAGTTGAGACGCCGAAGCAAGGGATCAGTTCGGTTGCGGAAGGTGCGCGCCATTCTTTGGACGTTTTCATGTTTGTTCCTCTCTAGCGCCCCTTGTGCGCCAGGTGTTATGTTTTTGCCAACGAGGGAATTCCGTTCCTTATTCAGCGTTCCTGGTGATACGGCAGGTTAGTGTCGTGCCGACTCAGCGGCGACTCCGCCGCGGGCATTCAAGGCTGAACGCCGCCAGAGGCATTCAAGTCGACCGCACAGCCGCCCGTCGTTCAAGGTTGAACGATCCACGCGGTGTCATAAACCAACGCCCAGGTCGTCATGGCACGAACCTGTCGTAGTGGCCTTCGGCCCATCCCGCTTTCTCGCCTAGGTGGTGGACCAGAGGCCTCGAAGACTGAGGAGGCATTCAGAAACCAGATGTTCTTCGCTGCGCGCGCGCTGCGCCGTGACTTCTTCCTGTGGGGCTCAAGAAACTTCATTCAGGTTGCCTTGGGTTTCCCACCAAATGCACCTCGGGCGCCGATTTGCCGTCGCGTCTGCACTTTAGAGACCCCCTTCGGTCTACTCTGGGGACGCCTTTCAGCTTGTCCGGTGTTTCTCGGGTGGCGGTCTGGGGGACCCCCCGTAGCAGCTTCTCTGTACCGCGATGCCTGCCTCGGCCGTGCTGCGCCCAAGAGCTCGTGCGGCTCGCGGCAGCTGTTCGGCGCTCGCTGGCCGGCGCTCGCCTGCTGGCCCTCGAATGGGTGCCCGCGCACGGGCGCCCGGCGGAGTCGAGTCCGCGGCCGCGGCGCGTGCGGCGACGACGACAATGCAGGAGACAGTTCGTTCACCCCTTTGCGACAGCAGGGGTGGGGGGGAGGGGGGAGCGGGCCGACCACGTCACGATTCGCGCCGGCGCTGTCTGGGAGTGCATAGGAATGGTCAATCCCCACACGGTGCCAGCGCGAATCATGACATGGCCAATGGACCAATGGAAGGGGGGCGGGGCCGGTCACGGGCGTTAGTGAGAATGATAAGACCGGGCCATTCTCACTTCAGGCCTGGGGCGACGATTAACTGGTTCCAGAGCGATCTGGGGCTCTCTCAGAGCGTCGTGGAGCCCTCTGGATCTCTCTGCCACCAAAGTGGGGTCCAAGCAGATGGGGCCGAAGGATTGCGCCACATCGCCGATGCATCGACGATTTGGCTCGATGAGGAGCCCGACTTTCTCCACGTCGACGTCGCCGATACCATGCATCGTCGACGTCGACTATGCATCGCCGATGCGGCGCGATCCTCCGACCCCATCTACTCGGACCCTATTTGGAAGGCATCTAGGAACCGCCGCCGCGCCCGATGCATCCTCCATAGCTACCAGATGTTCGTGATTTTCTGTAATCACCATCCGATGTTGTCCTCATCCGACATTGATGGGGGAGACCAATTGGCATAAACATATGTTTTCGGATATCCGCTCGGATTTCTTGCGATCAGCGCGGGGCTACCTCATCCCCGCCAGGGGCGGCGCCAGAGGCGCGGCCAAGGGGTCCAGCACCGATCGCAGAAATCTACGCGAACCTCAGAAATATAATGTACCAATGCGTGTTCCTTGCTGTCTTGTTTCCTTCCGTCGTCCCATCCCATTCCATTCCCCTTCCTCCTATTCCTTCCAGAGCAAAGTGTGCTGAGTTGGTTTTGCCGCCCACATGTGCCGAAGACGTGTGGCACAGCTTGAGTGAGCGACCTGGGTCGAGGGAGGAACCCCACCCCCACCCCGACAACTGGCATGTACTATACAGCCTTGGGCGATCGCGCAAGCATTCCTGCGCTGCTCGATCCCTTCCTTAGGGGCGCCTACTAAAGGGCTTCGCGTGCAGGTGTGCGTATTCTGAGGTTGGCTTTTAGGTTCGAACAAGAGAAACACGCGTCGATCTGGGACTCATGTTTGTTACCATCCAGGCTTCCACCAGTTGGATACTGACACAATCAGCATGGAACTAATTTCGGGAGGTCCGCGCCGATGTCTTGAATCGGCGTTGGAAACTCCCTGTTGGCGCCTACGGCGCCTCCTCGCGCCAGGGTAGGTGGTCCAGGGTCGATCCAAGAAATTCGCGGAGCCCTCCGAAGCCGTAAATGTGATTGGTTGATGTGTCTTTTGTTCATTCGTATTCCAAAGCTTGCCACCAGCAGTTCCTCTGCAGTTGATCTCACCTTTGCCCTCCTAGACAACATGTCAAAACAGGATGCACGGGGCGGGTAGCGATGGACCGAGCGATTTCAACAGCGCGAGATGGGAAAGCAGTCTACCGCATACCGAGCAGGCCAGTAGAGGCTGAGAGAGGGTTGCCGCGCCGAGCGTAGCCTCGGCAGAATCGGCACATTGACATCCTGCACAGCTACGCCAGAGCTTACCCTTCGTACACACGCGCTTCAAGTTCCTCCAGCCATAATTGTCAAATTCAGGCCTGGTATACCAGGTATACCGCACATGTCAGAATATTGACTCATCGCATACTGGCGTAATTCCATACATGTTGTAGTCTTGCATGCGCTCAGGTTCGTGAGTGTTCGATGCAGCCTGGTCTTGGTGGAGCGTTTGGTATCGACAAGAAGCACATGTGTCGAGTGATTCCCAAGTGCGCCTGAGCCTCGTCGTTGGGGCGGGCGTGTGACAACGGAGCGACTGCGATGGGAGCCGCCAGCCTGGCGCAGCCTTGGTAGCTGCGGTCGTGAGCGCATCGTGGCGCGGGACACCACCAGAGGTCCCTGGGAAGTCGCCAGAGGCCCAAGAGAGAGCCAGAGCGTGCGAGTGGGCCGCGAGAAACGGCCACGCCCACGGAGCCAGCCCGTCGACACCCCCGGAGAAGCACCCTCGTCGTTGTTGGTTTTTCTAGGTGTCGAATGGATGTCTCTGGCAGGCCAAGGAGCCAAGGAGTTCGGTTGCCGTGGGCTCCAGCGCCCCGCAGCCTTGGGGAAAAGCTGAGGCGTGAATGTACCGAGCTCCTTTTCAGGAGCTGACAACCAGCACCTGTACCCATGCGGCGCCCAGAGTTCTCGGGGTGGAGTTCTGGAGGTTTAATGGTGTGAGTTGTCGGATGGGACCCCCTATCAAACGGGACCCCCGTACCTATCGCGACTTCATGACTCTGTTGCCATGCTGTATTCCTCCCTCATTCAGGCTTATGTATTTGCTATTCCTGCGCCATCCTTGGCTGGCCAGACGACTTGGTGCATATTCCAAGCCTCTCCCAGGGAAAAGGCCCCCTGCGGCTTCGGCCCTTTTCGGCTCTGGCCTGTTTCGGCTTCGGCCCGTTTCGGCTTCGGTGCAGTTCGTCCCGGCCCGTTCGGGCTCCAGCCCGAGCCGGAACGCGCCGAAGCCGAGGAGGGCCGAAACCGACACGTGCCGAACGCCGAGCCCATCAGGACGCCGAGTCGGGCACTTCTCCCAGCGGGGGTGGGGGGCGGGCAGCGGAGCTCGCCCGTGGCCGCTGCCGCCGCCCCCCTCTGCCCCTGTGCCCCGCCGCCAAGAGGCTCGCCGCGGGCAGCGGAGCCCAGCGCGAGGGCGGCCCCGGCCCTCTGCCCGGCGGTCCAGAGACGGGGTCCCGAGGACGAGGTCAGTGTCGGTTCACCTGCCCCACGTCCCAATCCTGAGGCATGAGGGCGAGGTCACAAGGATTGCTATCTGTAGCAGTGACAGGTCAGGACGGAACATGATTTGCCATGAGCTTGTTTTTTTATTGCTCGGACCCGTAACGCCCGTTACGGGGGGGGGTTCCCCCCTCCCCCCCCCCCCCGTAACGGTAACGAGCGTACGGGGACGGGGGTGCGGACCCCCCCTCCGTCCAGGCAGGCATGCTGTGACGCTCACATGTGTGCTCACAAGCATTCTGTCTCGCTCACGGGCGTGGCGCGGTGCTCTCACGGACGCAGTGGTGCCCTGTTGCTGAGAGGCGTTGGTGCGGCGGTCGGATTGCGGCGCTCGTAGCTCCCAGAGATGTGGTGTGTACAGGCCGCACACGGGCGTTATGTTATACGTGAATGTTGCGGTGTTCACAGTTGCCGTGGTGTGCACAGGCATTGCGGGCCCTGATGCAGGGGGCCGTGCCCAGGGCAATAGAGAACAACATTCGCAAACAAATTACATATTGAATTTGATTGGGTGGGGATGGGATATGAAGGAGGGGAATGAGGATTTCTCACAGCTTTGGCGCCCTTCTCGCGAAGGGTGGCGGGAATTGCACCCTCTTCGCCGGTCGTCGCCACAGCCGCAGCGGCGGCGACCCCAGCGCGGGCCTTCGAGGTTGAATGCTGCTAGGGGGCCCCATTCGGGCCTGGGAGGCTCCCTTGAAGCAGTGCCGGTCCACAAGGGCTGTCCGTGCGGTCCGAAACCCGTCTCTTGTGGGACCTGTTTGCTTCATGGGCGACCTCCAGTGGATATCTTTCGGCGGCGAGCCCAGGGGGGGAGTGAGAGGGGGCAGGCCTTCTCAGAAGGCGGCGGGACTTCTCAGGAGCCCTCTGACCTTCAAAGAAGCCCTCCGCGTCTTCGGGGGATGCTTGGACATCTTCTCAGAAGGCCGGAGGCCTTCTGAGCCTTCTCAGAAGGCCCGCCCCCTGTCATTTCCCCCCTCGGCTCGCCGCCAAATCTTGCGGGCAGTGCCAACGGGCACTGCGCTTTAGCACTTGATCGGCGGTGTGGCGCGCCACAGGTGCCACAGAATGGTCGTCGTCATCCCTGCCGCGTCCGTTGTCATCATTTTGCGGGCTGCACCCGGAGTCCCGAGGCCCGCCTGCCAGCACGACGTTTCCCCGAACAGTGCGCGCACCAGGAGTTCCGTTGAAACGCAGCGCCACAAAGTGGCCCCGCCTTTGGCGCAACCTGTGGCGCAACCATCGACGCAACCTATGGCACGCCCTGAGGGCGCAACCTAAAGCGCAACGTCATGCGCGATTTGTGGGGCGCCCTGGGTGCGCAACCTATGGCGCAAGCTATGGCACGCCCTGGGGGCGCATCCTATGGCGCAACTTACGGCTCAACCTATGGCGCAGGTAATTGTACGCAAGCACAACGTGTGGTGTAACGCATCGGGCAAGCCACGGCGCAACCAGCTGGTGCACTCTCACAATATCATTATGTCTACTACCGCTGTCCTCCCTCCATTCTCCCTGTGCTGGTGCAAGGGACTGGACTGGGCGAGACCTGCACGCGGATGCGGCCGCATGTCCTTCCAGCGCTCGGCCCTCCTACCTCGCGCGGCTGGTCACGCCAGCCCCCCGCATGTGTATCCAGCAAGTGGGCCCCAAGCGCTGCTGAAGCTTTCGGCAACTGGCTGCGGACACGGCGGCGGCGGCGGCGACGGCGACGGCGGCATCGGCGGCGACGACGACGGCGGTGACGGCGGCGGCGGTCACCTTCACCGCCGCCGCCGCCGCTTGCCGCCGTCGGCGTCGTCGCCGTCGCCGCCGCCGTCGTCGTCGTCGTCGTCGTCGTGGTCGCCGTCGCCGCCGCCCGTGTCGCCGCCGCCGCCGCCGTCGCCCCCCCGGTCGCCGTCGCAACTGACGGCGACGACGACGACGCACCCGCGTGCACGCTCCAACCGTCGACCCATGTCTCAAGGGCCTTGTGCCTGTGCAGGGAGCTCCTGCTTCCTGTATTCCCTAGGCTGCCGCCGCCCCGCGCGCCCCCACGGCGCGTGGTTTACACTCCGCACAAAACAAAGCCGTACACAAACTTTGTGGTGCACACGTGCCGTGTTGTATGGACAGGCTCCACGGTTCACACTCCCATGATGTACACAGTCGCAATTGAGTACGCAGGCGCTGTGGGCTCAACAGGTCCGAGCGTTTTTTGAACCAGAAAAATTAAGATCCACAAGCAACTCACATAATGAAAGGGCCACGGTTGGGCCCCGAGCGATCTTCTGGACTTTCGTTCCGCCAGTCCCTTGCAGGTGTACACAAGTTTTGTGGTGTACGGTGGCATTCTGGTGCAAACACGGGGCGTTGAAACAGCAGTTGTGGTGCACGCGGGCGCCGTGGTGTGCACCAACAGTGAGATGTACAAGGGCGCTGTGGTGCACCCGCCTGTCATGATGTGTTCAGTCGCCGTGGTGCACACACATACCATTTCTGCCGCAGTTGTGGTGTACAAAGGCATCGCGGTGTACAGAGCCTGTGTAGTGTGCGCAGGCACGGTCGGTTTCGACGACGACGACAGCGGCGACGACGACGACGACGACGACGAAGCCTACCGTGCCGACGGTTGTGCTGGTAATAAGTACCAGGGCCCGTGCGCGGGCCCCGCCGCGCGTTAGCGTTACCCCCAACTTGGGGCCGGACCCCCCCCCTCCCCCCCGTAACGGGCGTTACCCCCCCGAATAAAAAAAACAAACTCCATGTTCGCCTCTCTGGAAGCCTTCCCCAGCCTCGGGAGCGTCCCGAAAACGACCCAGGACGAAAAACTGGCCCCCGGGAAATGGGTCGGGACTCTCGGGGGTTGCGTATTGAAAAAGTCAGGACGTCGTAGTTCCGGGTCCCCATACTCATCCCCACCATCCCACCACCCCAGTTGGGGATATGCCGCTCAAAACTCGACGGGAACAGCCAATATCCCCATCCAGGGGGCAAATCGTTCTTTATACGGCCACCGTCCTCGTTCGCGCGCGCTCGGCCCAGAAGGGGGGTTCGCTTCTGTGAGCACCGCCTGGAGGATCGACCTTCGGGGACCTCGGCAGGCGATGGACATGGACATATTCGCGCCCCCGGGGGCCCAGATGTATCCATTTCCGCCGCCGCCCCCAAAGGTCCCCAGGATTTCGGTCCCCCCTGCGGTGAATCTGGATAAGTCCTTGCCCCGCACTTCGGACAATGTGAGTTCAACATGGGAACACGGGGCCCCTTCCTGTCCTTCCGGCCCTCTCTGCGGGGGTAACGGTAGCGGGGATAGGATACAATAAGGTGGAATGCACCGACCCCCAATCGCCCACTCATTGCCAATGTGGGCCCGATCACCCCAACCAGCCCAGTCGGACTTACTATCGGGGGCCTATCGCCGATCTGCATGTCGGCGATGCATCGCCGGTTCCAGGTCGATGTTTCCCCCTCGCTGCCAGTCCCCCCCTCCCGCTGCCTCTCATCTCTCTCTCAGGGCCCCGTGCTTTGAACCGCCGATCCGCGGCGCCCTCCCGCCCCCCGGATGCGGGCGCCCGAGGCCCCGCGCGGCGCGTCTCCGCCCCCGCCCCCCCCCCGGAGTCTGATTACTAGAGCTCGTCCTCCAGATCGTTCACGTTGGTGACGATGAGGACGAGCAAGAGAAAATATGTGTCGATATCAATTATCGTGATAATTGTCCGTGAACACCTTTTGTCCACAATATGAACGGCCGCGCTGTAGTGTGCGCGGTCTGCCTGGCACAGCCAGGCTCTGTCAGAAAGAGTCCCGCCCTCCCTCGCCTTGAGCCGAGGGTGGCGGCGAAACGGACAGGGCAGACGGGCAGGAGGCAGCTGCTGCTCAAGCTTACTCCTGCGTAGCATTCAGACAGGGGGAAAAAGGTTCTGCCCTGTACCGTGCGCGCAGGCAATCTCTGCGCTCCGTGTGTGCTGCTGGACGAACTTCTGATGGGTCTCGATCTCCTGCTGCAACTTCTGGATCATGATCAGGGATTCGGAGGCCGAGAACCCAGTAGAGGTCGTCGAGCCGGAAGGGTTCCCTTCCATGCTGGCTGGTGGTTGTGCCTGGCGGGCCAACCTCCGCTCCTCGAGTACCTGACGAGCTGAGGCCGGGTCGGTCGGGTCCGTCTCGTCGAAGATGCCCTTGCCAAGCGCTGCCCGCTTGCGAGCGTTCATGAACTGCTCGTCGTATATGAGGCGCCACTGCTGCTTCTCGAGGAAGGCCCGAACCACTCCGAAGGCCTGCCAGCTTGCCTTGGTTAGACCGTCGGCGATCTGTGCGTGTGAGTGAACCCAGCGCACGACCGTTTGACCCTCGTCCAAGGCGTTGCGGAGAGCCAAAGCCTCGATGGCTGTCCTCCGCTCTTCCAGTCCCAGTCCCGCCGACTGAGATCGCACCACGCCGTCGTAGAAGGCCTTGCAGTCCGTCACCAGGATGGCTGGTAATCGTCGTAGTGCTGCTGCGGTATCTTGCAGTGGAGACATATTGTGTAGAAGTTCGGCAAGTACCAGTCGCACCATGCTCTGCTCGCCTTCGGCGTCGCCGGCTTCCTGCACCTCCGCCGCCAGGCTTGACCGAGCCACGCGGCGCAGCTTCTTGGAGCCCCAGTCGAGGACCGTGAACTCGGAGAGCTTCCCGTCCATGGCCGCCTTGGAGGAGATAGCGGTGATATGACCACCCTGGGAGTGTCCATCCGGGCGGCTGGCCCAGGCTGCGTCGCACCAGGTGAAGATGGCGAGGTCGTCCAGGGCGTGCCGGTAGATCCTGATCCCCATGTGGCGGCTCTGCTTGACGAGCTTGACGATGTTGTTAGCGGCCGTGAAGAGGTTGTGAGTACCTGCTGGTATCTTCATCTGGAGGTCGGCTACCCACGATAAGAGAAATGGCATGGTATTCACGCCAAGCCAGTAGATCTCGCCGCAGAACGCCCTGAGCACCGTCTTGTCAGAGTCCTTGAGGCTGTCGGTGGTCCGATGCTTACTGCCGCTGGTCGCCTTGACCTCCTTGATCTTGTCGATGTACGACTTCTGGTGGAGGAAGAAGCCCTGCTCGCTCTCTTCGATGGTGACGCCGCACTGTTCGAGAGAGGTGAGCCCGTCATTCATGTCCTCCCAGGTGCCCCACTTGTAGAGCCCTCGGATCTGCTTGACCATGTCCTGCCACTCAGGGTGGGAGGTATCTCCTGCCATGATGAAGTCGTCGACGTGGGCCATGATCATACCAATGAGCATACCCGTCCTGGCACATCGTGCTTTCCAGAGGCAGGGCTCCAACTCGCAGGCTTGGAGTCGAAGTTTCGCAAAGTCGTGCTTGACCGTCTCCCACCAGTGCCGGGGCGCCTCGCCGATCCCATATCCATGTTTCACGACCTGGAGGATTTCCCCTTCCTGCACGTGGAAGGCCTTTCTGAGGACGGCGTCTGGCTCGATGAAGAGGTCCTTGTCAAGGTCGTGGGCCTGCAGAAAGGCGGAGGTGACGTCGCCCTTGATGAGCTTCCAGCGGTTCGCGGCGGCCACTGTTAGCATCACGTGACGGGCGCGCCGAGACGCGGTGGGGCTGGCTGTCGGCTCCTGTCCTAGGTCCTTCGTCTGGTAGCCGAGGAGGACGAGCCGGGCCTTCGCCTTCCCATCGGACTTGCGGGTGAAGAGCCACCTTGCCCGGATGACGTCCGCCGCGTCCTTGACCCGAGATATCGGGGCAGCGCGGAGTCCCTGATGCTGGATCCAGTTGTTCGTCTCCTTGGCGATGGCTGCCTCGAACTCCTCACGCTCGGTGGCGTTCATCTTGGACCAGGTCAGCTCCACCTTGTCCTTCCGGCGCTTGTTGGCGACGAAGCTGTCCAGGATGTGGCTCATCAAACCTCGGCGTCCGTCTGGAGTGGTGTTCTCGTCCTGCAAGTACTCGAGGTAGACGGTCTGCTGTTCGTCGATGCCGAGGGTGATGTCCAACTTGTCCTTGAAGAGGTTGACCAGGTGGTTGCTGTCGAACAGCGCGTCGGCCATCTCCTCGTCTGCGCCTCTCTGTCGCTTCTCCGGCGGTACGTGCAGATCGAGCTCCTGGTCCGCGGTGTGTCATGCGCCATCTAGGTCTCGACTCGCCTCGGGATGCGGCACCGGCCGCCGATGAGGTCGAGGTCGCGGGAGGCGGACGCGATGCTGTTCGAGACTCCGTCCTGACTGCCGCTGAGGTAGATGCTTTCCCTGGAGTTCGTGATGGGGCTGCTGACCGGTCAGCTGCACGAGCCGGTGGGGACCGGGACCGTCGGACATCTGGTTCACTCGGTTCCACTTCAGGCTGCGTCGCTGAGCTTGGTGTTGGTGGCCTGGAGGAATTAGGATCGCCGGGTGTGTCGTTGTCGGCGCCTGAGGGGAGTCCCGCCTCGCTGTTGTTCTCGAGAGTCTGGCCCTCGGTCGCGGGGATCGCCATCGTCGGCTGCGGCGGAGGCTCGTATTCTCGGAGGTCTGGAGGATTTTGTCCGAGAAGGTCTTCATGGGTACCGCCCTTGGCTGTCTCCAAGATCTCCGTCATGGTCTTGCCAAGGTTGCTCTGCCGCTGCAATTCGACGATCATCTTCTCTGCCTCCGAGGCGACGCGCAGCTGCTCCGGGGCGCACCTGATGAGCACGCTCCCGTGGGAGATCCAGATGACCGAGGTAGGACGGGCGCGCCCGTCCACGTGTCGTTTTTCCTGAGCAAGGACACGAGCAGGGCCGTACCATCCGCCCTTCTTCCCAGGGCGAGGGTCAAGGCCTTTCCCTTTGCGCCAGAAGTAGACGAGGTCCCCCGGATTCCAGGTCTGATAGACCCGGTTGCGGGCCTGTTCGGCGTGTCGACGACGCTCAGCATACTCTACTTCCAGGAAGCTTTTGCGCGCAAGGAGGCGCCTCTGCTCCTGAGTCTCCCCGGTGTCCCCGTCAATGATGGCGAACGGGTTGCTCGAGGCCGGCATCCCAGAGACGCCCATCACGTGCTCGAACGGGGAGTGGTTGCCGACCTTGTCCATGCTGTTGATCGCGCTCACGGCCCAGGACACCAACTCCTCGACCGGGCAGTCGGGGTCCAGCGTTGCCAGCTTCGTCATCAGTCGCTTGAACAGCTGGATGCGCCTCTCGACCTTGCCCATCAGCCAGTGGGCCTCGCCCGGGGCAATCCACAGCTCGATGCCGCGGTCCGAACACCACCTGGCCACTGCTTGTGAACGATGACAACCTTCGGGGTCCAGACGGAGAAGGCTGGGGCGGCGGTAATGTCCGCACCAGTCATTCCATGTTGAAATCACCTCCTGAGTCGATCTGTTGCCATTGCGCTCTCCCTTCTGCCCATGATAGGTGACACTGGTGAGCCCGGATCCCTCGTCGATGTTCAACGTCATCAGGAAAGAATCCTGCTTCGGCGAGAGCCACTCGAGCCCGTCGGGGGCCAGCACCTCTAGGACGCCTGGCAGCTCGATGCCCGAGGCGACCCTGACGGCTTTTGGTAGTTGTCCCGCATGGCATGCGTGACGCTGGAGGCGAAGAGCTGCTCGTAGGACCTGGAGAGGTGCTCCCGATGCCTTGAGGATCTTGTACAGTGTCTTTTTGCTCGGGTGGCCGAGGTTGCGGTGGAGCCGCGTCAGCCGTTGCTCGATCTCCAGCTCCTCCTTCTTGGTCGGTGTCTCGGAGATGCCCAGGCCCTTCATGACCGACTCGTCGTCCATGGCCTCGGGGTTATCCTGCAAGAGGTCCTCGTCGAGGGCCTCCTCCATCTCCTCTTCAGCGTCCTCTGGGATCTGTTCCAAGCTGGTGAAGATCTCCTTGCCGTACCTCGCGCTGGTGTTCGTCTTCAGGATATGCTTTGCCCAAGCCTTACACAGTGCTGGTGGGTAAAAGGCCGTCTGGGCCACCACCTGTCCGTCCTCGATGGGGCGGTGTGCGTGGTTGTCGCCCCTGCCAGGGGTGTTGGAGCACGTCCTGCCGAGCTTAGCGCCGAACTCCGGGTCTGTCGAGCATATGCGCCATGCCTTCCTCATCAGCAGGCCGGAACGAGCTTCGCGAAGTCCATGCGCACAGCCATGGATGATCGTCTCGCGCATCTGGTCGCGCATCGCCTTGATCGAGGGCGACCTGGTCCAGCTTCGGCTGGAAGCTGGCTGTTCGAGCTCGGTGTGGCAGTCGTGAATCTTCTTCGAGTCTTCCCAGAGGCTCTTGCAGTTCCGCTGGATACGTCGGGCCTTGCGCACCTTCGCCAGATACGTGGCCTTCTGCTGAGCTGTCTTCTGGTTGAGATTCTGGATCGGGCAGTCTGCTGTACATGGCGGGCTGAGAACCAAGCGGCGCGGTCGGAGTCGTCGGAGAAGGTGAAGCGCGCGTCGAAGCCCGGTTGCCGTTCCCATGTCGATCCCATTGAAGAGGCCGCACCTGAACACTTTGCCTCCCTGGTCCTGCACGGCCTTGCTGAGGCTCGAGTCCTCCGGACAGCACACCTCCATCAGGTCGATGCGGTAGGGCCTGCCGAGCTCCGTCAGGTCCTCGGCGATGGTCTGGTAGATCTCGTCCAGGACCTTGTCGTGGCTCTCGTAGAACATCTTGAGATCCTGGTCGTCGAGCTGCTTCAGCGTTTCCTCTTCGAGTCCATCTCCGGCAGTTCCGAGTCGTCGAGCATCTCCGGAGTGAACTTCCAGCCCCCCTGTATCTCCGGGGAGTTCAGCTTGTTGGACAGGCGCCGCCAGCGTAGAGCCACTGCCTGCTCCCGTTGTCACCTCCGTCGCCTTCGTACACGTGTGGCTCTTGCCTCCGCGGCAGCTGCACCCCCGAATCGTCTTCCCGAGGGCCCCGCAGAAGGAGCACGCGGACTTCGGAGGTCTCGTCACTGGCTGAGCCCCCGCTGGACTCGGTGGGGCGCTGCTGGCTGTCGCTGCTGATGTCGCTGCTGGTGTCCCGGGTGCTCCCTGCTGTGGGGTCTTGAGGCACTGGTGGCTCTTGCCCCCGAAGCAGCTGCACCCGCGTTTGGTCTTCCCCAGAGCTCCGCAGCAGCCGCACTTCCCCACTGGGTTGTACCACTTCGCTGGTAGCTCCGGAGTAGCTGGTGTTGCTGTTGATGTTGGCGTCGGGGTCGCTGGAGCCGAAGTTGGCGATCCCCTCGTGCGAGGGCGGCTCCACTCGGGGCGGGCCGCAGGCACAGGTGGCGGCCGTTGCTCCGAGGATTGCCCAGCCAAAGAACCGTCGCTGCATGTCATCCAAGCGGCCAGTGGCGGCCTGGGAAGAATATGGAGGTCGTGAAAGACTGCTGGTTGAGGCTATTGCCGAGTTGATGAACTGAGCCGAAGGTGGCTGAGAACGGCATGATGATGAACACCGATGGTATTGTGCTGGCTCATCGCTTTGCTTTTCCATATTTTGATCCTGAGGCTTGCTTGCTAACGGTCCTCTTGACTGTGATGATGTCCCGATCGACGGTGATGATGAAGAGAGCCGGCCGGATGACCTGACCGTCCGTCCGAACGAAATCGAGGTTTCCGTCGCTCGAGCCGATCCGCTCCGTGTCGCAGTTTCCGTCGCTCTGGTAGGTGTCCGCGCCGCCGAGGTTTCCGTCGCTCTGGTGGGTGTTTCGAACTCGCGGTGACCGAGTCGGTGTGGCCCCCCCGATGATGAGGTTGACAATCGAGATAAATTCTCTTCTGCTGCCATCATCAGGGGGCGCTGTCCCTAGCGCACCGCAGGGCAGCAGCTGCGCGGAGCGGCCTCTTCGGGCAGCTCCTCCACCAGAACATCGGGCGCCGTCGCTTCGGACGTCAGGCACCCGGCACTCGGCAAGGAAAGCGGCACCTCCTTCCACCACTGCGGCGTCGTCAGGTTGACGGCCAGATGGTTGCTCGAGAGGCGCTCGCAGTAGAACACCTTGTTGCCCATGGTCGGAAGGCCGATCCAGTTCCGGCCGCAGTCGACCACAACCTTCAGCGAGTCAGTCAGAATGTCCATGCCCAGGAGGATCGGCACGCGGTTCGGCATCACCGACAGCTTGACCTCGGTCAGGTCGCCGCCGAGGAACACGTTCCCCTTCACCGTGCCCATCGAGCTCTTCTGGAGGCCGTCGCCGAAGGTGAATGAGCACTCGTCATGTGTCGTCTCGAACTCCTGGCCGTGCTGGTCCAGCATCTCGTACATGAGGTTCTCGACGCTCTCGAGGCCGCCGAGGCTCTTCGTGGCCCCGATGTCGAGGATTGCCCAGATGCCGTCGCGCTCCAGGAGGTAGAGGTACTCGTCGAGGGCGGACAGGACGAAGCCGTTGTGAATAGTCCCACGAGCTCCATCTCTCGTATTATCTTTCTTGAACCTCTCGTTGCAGTCCGCCGCTCGATGACCATATTCGCCGCACGCGATGCACTTCATCTTGGACATGTCACGTCCCTTGCCCGTGTCGAAGCGAGCGCGGCCTCGACCGTTCTTGCCGCGGCCACGCTGGAAGCCTCGTCCCGGGTTCGGAGGCGGGGGCACGCGATCGGGGTCCTTGAGCGACACGACCGGGTAGTAGTCGCGGGACACTCGAAGGCGTCGGATCAGGTCACGAGCGTCCTTGAAGCTCCTGCCCACCTGCTTGAACTCTGCGAACACCTCGTTGTCCGCTGGATTGTCGTCAGCTGGCTCCTCATCTTCATCTTCTTCAGCGAGGGTGATCAGCTGCTCGACAACCTCTGTGAAATCAATATCTTCCCCACCAGTCTCGTCCTCAACGTCGTCGACGGGCGCGTCCTCATAGAAGGCCCTCCGGTGCTGCTTGCCGTCGAGTTCCGCCAGCGCCTCCGCCGGGAAGCGCGTGAGCAAGGCCTTGTATGTCTTACCAAAGTTGAGGTCGCCACCTGCAGTGGCGGTGATCTCTCCACGTTGAACAGGGGATAGCTTGGACTTCCGAAGGAACCACCATGTCCGAAGAGGCTTCGCAATCACTTCCGTCACGCTGGAATCAATGACTTGGAGCTGCACCAACAGCTCCCGTTCCTTCTTCTCGAATCTGGCGGCCCAGTCCTGGAAGGTCTCGCCCGAGTTCCGGCTGACCTTCAGGAAGAACTCCTCCGCGAGGAGGCCCGTGTCATTCAGGCTGGTGAAGTCCAGCTCCTCCAATACATACTGAAACACTTTGTTCCAACCAATCAAAACTCCATCCTTGTCGATCTCGTCGACCGTGTCGATGTCCGGGCAGCTCTCCACCGTCGTCCGGACTCGCGCCCCGAGGGCGCGCACCAGCTGCGGGCCACACACGTAACGCTCCGCAGTCTTGATGCTCTTGGTGAACATGGAGACCTCAAACTTGTAGCTCGTCAACTTATCTGCCTCGCCGTTCCATGAGGGGACGTCGACGCGCGTCGTCGGTGGCCCGCTGGCGGCTGTAGTCGCCATTCAGGCCGAGACCGGTGGGAGCTCGTGGTTGTCGGAGACCACAGGCTCCGCTACCAATCTGATTACTAGAGCTCGTCCTCCAGATCGTTCACGCTGGTGACGATGAGGACGAGCAAGAGAAAGTATGTGTCGATGTCAATTATCGTGATAATTGTCCGTGAACACCTTTTGTCCACAATATGAACGGCCGCGCTGTAGTGTGCGCGGTCTGCCTGGCACAGCCAGGCTCTGTCAGAAAGAGTCCCGCCCTCCCTCGCCTTGAGCCGAGGGTGGCGGCGAAACGGACAGGGCAGACGGGCAGGAGGCAGCTGCTGCTCAAGCTTACTCCTGCGTAGCATTCAGACGGAGGGCCCGGAGCTCCTCTCGTTTCTTGGCCTCCCAGGAGGGCTCCCGGGGGGAGCTCAGGGGACGAACTGGCAGCGCTGCCGCTGCCCCGCACCGTTTTAACCTTTTTGGGGCCTCCGGGGGTGCCCTCGTCGCCACGGCGGGAGTCGTCTCGAAATTCTGGTCAGAGCGCAACCCAGGGAGCGGTTCCGGAGGCAGGGATCGGTACCTCCTGGTTTCCCCGGATGGGGTCCGAGTAGGAAGGCCAGCCTGGGTTCGGAGGATCAAGCCGCATCGCCAATGCATCGGCGATGCGGCTCGATGTGAAGCCCGATTCTCCACGCCAACGCCGCCGGTTCATCGCCGATGCATCGTCGATTCGGCACAGTTCTCCAGTCCCATCTACTCGGACCCCATCTAGCAGGCCTCTATATTTCGACCTCCAGGGCCCGTTATCGGGCCCCAGGGTCATCAGACATGGATTTGGGACGACGTACTGCCCCCAGGGAAGGGTTTGGGACAACCGCGCCACCACCAGGGGTGCCACATCCTCGCGCCGCGACGAGATCACTGCGGCGGAAAGTTTCCGGCCACTTTCGGGGGCCCTTGCCAGGCCCCAGGGCGGTCCAAAAACGGTTTGGGATGAAGAACCGAGGCGTCAAGACCCCCACGGTCCCTGGCCATCAGAGGAAGGAATAACGACACCACCACCAGGGCTGCCACATCCAGCGAGGACGTCCACGGTGCCTCCCTGACCTGGGACCGGGCTGTGACGCCAGCGCGGAGGGGGACCACACCAGCAAGAGGACCCCCTTGGCTTCTCGCGCTGATGGTGGTTGTTGCCGATCATCCTTGTTCCTGTTCACCCTTCCTGTTGTCCAGGACTGTTCGGCCCAGTCAGTCGCTGTGTCGGTTCCGCGTCGCTGTGCCTTTCTGGGTTGCCCGAGACCTGTTGGGTTCAGTATCGTTGTCGGTTCGGTCGGTTTTCGGTTGTGCTGTCATTGTGGACGGCCTCGGGTCGGGGGATCCCGCCCCATCGTCCATGCGTCGCCGACGTGGCACGATCTGGAGCCAGACTTGTCTGCACACCGAGGTGGCGATGCATCATCGAAGCATTTGCGATGCTGTGCGACCCTCCGGCCCCATCGCTGCGGCCTCCACCACCGTGAGAGGGGGAAAAGATGGGGTCGATGGCGGTGGTGGTGTGTCGAAGACGCCTGCGGCGAGTCACCGCCGTCCCCTGCTGTGGGAAGTGCCTGTGTCCCCGAATGGCGAACGCAAGTCCGGCCACGCTGGTGGACTGCATGTTCCCCGGGCCGTTGGGGGCAGTTCTGGGGGAAGCCTAGGCTCAGGAGGGAAGCGTAAACACAGACACAAACGCTGATGGCCAGGAAGTTATGATAAACTATGGGAGACGGACATCCCGAACGCATAGAGAATTACAAGGACTCTTGGTATATGTGTATGTTGATTAGCGTGTCCCTGGTCACCTTCGCTGGTGCCCACTTGGACCGCGGCCTCTTGACACCTTGTGGCCCTCCAGGGCAGTATTGGGCCTGCCAGCTTGGATGCCTCTTGTGCCAGCTTGCGCCTTGCATGTCAAGTCCTTTGTATCTCGGCGCGCACACGCAGACTCGAATGGCCTGAGTGTGGCTCTCTCGCCCTCCTGGCCTCTCCGGCCGCCTCGCACCTCGGCGCGTTCTCTTTTCCTCGTGCCTCGCTGTGCTTCGGCGCGCCCCGCCGCTGGTCGACCACCGGCTGACCCGCTTGCGGCCGCCAACCAAAACATGTGCCGTTTTGCGCTGTTGACGGCTCGAAACGGTGGAAGCCTGGAAACGCAGGCGTTCGCATCTCCGGGCCATGCGGAGGTCCCCTTGGGTGCCTCTTGGGGCGTCTCTGGCTTCGTCGGCCGTCTGGAGGACATCTTTTTTCGTCCCGGCGCCACCATGAGCCGAATTACCCGCGCGATCGGCACGACGACGCACGCGTCTGCGGGGTGCGCGTGGCGGGTGGAGCATCTTTGGCGACCTTGGACCTCCTGGGCCATCATGGAGGCCACGTGGACCGTCTACGCCCGTCTGGGGCCACTTGGGAAGCCACCCTGGCCCATCAGAGGCGACTGACAGGCGGGTGCTGTGCGGACTTTTCGGTGCTTGGCGCAGGCGACCACGCGGGCCGAGAGCCAGCGGGGCCCTGTCTTGGAAGGGCTGGGAAGACTGAAAGTTCCCTTTGGACGAGCACCACTGTGGAAGGCTCCGGGGGGGCGGATACTACGTGCGGCGTGCTCGCGTCGCGTAAACGCGGCGGCGAACCCGAGCGCCGCCGTTGGCCGGGCCCAGACTCGGCCAATGTGGAACGACCTGGCGATCGCAAAGCCGCCGATTGTTGAAGCTCGAAAGGTCCACGCGGTGTCAGGATCCGATGCCAGGGCCGTCACGGCCCAATTCTGCCGTAGTGGTCTACTGGCCCATCCTGGGTCGTGGACCAGAGGCCTGTAACAGATATAAAGCATGTGTGAATCAGATGTTTTGCGCTGCGCGCGCTTCGCAGTGACTTCCTGCGGGGCTCAAGAAACCTCGTTCAGGGTGCCCTGGGTTTCCCACCAAATGCACATCCGGCGCTGATTTTCGGGGTTGGACTCCTTGCGAAAGTTTACTCAGGCCGAGGCCCCTTTGGGTCTGTCCTGGGTGCCTCTTTAGGCCTGTTTGGGAAAGTGCGCCAGTGGATCTCCCTGAATACACTAAAGGGGGGGGGGTCCAGAACCCCCCCTCCCCCTCCCCCGCTTAAGGGGGGGGGGGTCCCGAACCCCTCCCCCTCCCCTCCCTTGAAAGGGGGTCGGGGTCTGGACCCCCCCGCCCCCCCCCTCCCCCCCCTGGCGTTGGAAAGGGGGGGGGGGTCGGACCCCCCCCCCCGTGTACGGAGTTGGGAGTAGGGGGTGGTGAGTAGTGAGTAGTGAGTTAGTGCGTAGTGAGCAGTGAGCCCGCAGGGAGTAGGGAGTAGTGAAAAGTGAGTAGTGTGTACTGGTAAGTGAGTAGTGAGTGGCGAGTAGTGAGTAGTGAGTAGCGAGTAGCGAGTAGTGAGCACTGAGTATGGAGTAGGGAGTAATGACTAGTGGGTAGTGAGATGGTGCGTACTGAATAGTGGGTGGCGAGTAGTGATTTAGTGAGTAGTGAGTAGTGGGTGGTGCGTAGTGCCTAGTGAGTAGTGAGTAGTGAGTAGTGAGTAGCGAGTAGTGAGTAGTGAGTCGTGAGTCGTGAGTAGTGAGAATTGAGTAGTGCGTAGTGCGTAGTGGGTAGTGAGTAGTGATGAATAGAGTAGTGGGTAGTGGCAGTGGGTAGAGAGCAGTGAGTAGCGAGTAGGGGGTAGCGAGTAGTGAGTAGTGAGGAGCGAGTAGGGCGTAGAGAGCAGAGAGTAGGCAGTAGTGAGTAGTGGGTAGTGATTAGTGGGTAACGAGTAGGGAGTAGCGAGTAGTGGGTAGTGGGTAGGGAGTCGGGCGTAGGGAGTTGTGAGCAGTGAGTAGTAAGTAGTGGGTAGCGAATAGTGTGTAGTGAGTAGCGATTGGTGAGTCGTGGGTAGTGGGTAGTGTGTGGTGACTAGTGACTAGTGACTAGTGAGTTGTGACTAGTGACTAGAGACTACGTGGTGACTAGCGAGTAGGGAGTAGTAAGTAGTAAATAGTGAGTAGCGGGGAGTGGGTAGTGAGTATTGAGTAGCGAGTATGGGAGTAGCGAGTAGTGGGTACTGAGTACTGTGTAGTCAGTATTGTGTAGGGATTAGTGAGTAGCGAGTAGTGAGTGGTGGGTAGTGAGTAGTGATTTGTCGGCAATGAGGAGATAGTAGTGAGTATTGAGTAGTGGATAGTGGGTAGTGGGTAATGAGTAGTGATTAGCGGTTAGTGAGCAGGGAGTAGTGAGTAGTGCTTAGTGAGTATTGAGCAGTGTGTAGTGAGGAGTGAGTAGTGAGGAGTGAGTAGGGAGGACGGAGTAGTGAGTAGCGAGTAGTGAGTAGCGAGTAGTGGGTAGTGAGTATTGGATAGTGAGTAGTGAGTCTTGAGTAGTGAGTAAGGGGTAGTGAGTAGCGAATAGGGAGTAGTCAGTAGTGGGTGGTGAGTAATGAGTAGTGAGTGCTCATTGGGGCTGGGGTTGGTGGTAGGGGTTAGGATTTGGGGTTTGGGTTAGGGTGAGGACTCGGGGCAGGGGTGGCGGGGGCAGGGGAAGGGTTCTGGAGTCAGGGGGCGGCGTGGCGAAAGGGGGGGAGGGGGGGTCGGACCCCCCCCTCCCTTTTGAAAGGGGGGGAGGGGGGGGGGGTCCCCGACGACGGGTCGGGGAAAGGGGGGGGGGGAGGGGGGCTTCCCCGACGACGGATCGGGGAAAGGGGGGAGGGGGGGGGTCCCCCGACGACGGATCGGGAGGGTGGGGGTGGGGGGGGGTAACCCCCCCCCCCCCTTGGGGAGATCCAGCGGCGCACCCTCCCTGTTTGGGGTGTTTAGGGAGGCAGTATGAGAGACCCTCCCTGGGGGAGGGCTCCGAGGACCTTTGGAGTGTCTTTATTGTTCGTCCATCCTGGGGCAGTCGTGAGGGCTGGTCTCTTGGGCGTCGTTTTGGCTCTTTGGTCGTTCGTACAATCGAAACCGACTATGCAAAAATGATACACGTCATCTCTGGCTCAATGATTTT